TTTTACCTGTCTATGTATTACTAAATCTTTGTTAATATGATGATGAAATATTCTACTTAATTCGCCTCCCACATTCTGAACAGGCATTATGGGATCTATCACAGCATGATGTTAGCAACTTTCTTTCCAGAAGGATAAATTTCAAACATTTAATCAGACTGAATAAAAACAGTCATGCATTGATCACATTGATTATTTCACGAGTGATAACTGGCATTCAATACGCAGTGTCCAGTCTCTCCATTCCACATAGATTCTGGAGTTAGACCACAGGGGCCTCATACAATCCTGTTTGTGTAGCCGACTGTTGTTTTATAGTGAATGTACCAGATTTACCGTTTGGCTCACCTATAGTGATATATTGCTGACTATGTACATACATCATTGATAAATAAACGTTAAATTACTTTACCTGTGGTGTATAGTCGTCCTTTTGTCTCAAAAAATCTTTTTTTGAGCGATTTTGAATAAGTCTGAGTTCAGAATCTTGCTACGCATCCCAGACGCTCAAAGAGATTTTGATTTTCTTCGAGGGCTAGCTCCGGTCGGTTTGGATGGATCTTCGATTGAAAGGTACGAGGAAAATCGTGCATCTTTTGACCTTAATGCTGCGAAGTTTGAAAGCAGAGCGATGCAATTTTCGGGGGAAAAATCGCTCGGGCGCTCGAACCCTTTCAAAACAAGGCTTCCACCCTTGTCTTTCTTTTATGCATTACATTAACGACGAACTCAGACTTATTCAAAATCGCTCAAAAAAAACGTTTTTGAGGCAAAAGGATGACTATACACCACTGGCAAAGTAGTTCAACGTTTATTTATCAATGACTTTTGTACATAATCAGCAATATATCACTATAGGTGAGGTAAACCGTAAATCTGGTACACTCACTATAAAACAACAGTCGGCTACACAAACAGATTGTATGGGACCCCTGTGGTTAGACGGCTGACCGTTTTTCCCTCATTTCCTTTGTATTCAACTTCAATTTTAAAATCCGTACACTGAATATTGACCAAAATTTCTTGTTGCTGTTCACACACCAGGATTGATTTTGAAATAGCATTGAGTTACTGCTGTCAAATATAATAATCACAAAAGAATTACATCACATGGCAGAGCTCCCAAAACTTTAGCTGGGCCTTTAGCGGAAAGAGTTTTAATAGACTCGTTCTTTCACTATCGTCGTTTCGTTCCACTACACAGTTCCTTTACTTACCCATTTTGCATTTATGTCGGCCGGGCCACCATAGGCAACACGGTTTACTAAGTTGTTCCACAAAACTTAACATTTCAAGTGAAGTAAATCGAGGTTTGGTTTTAACTGAATCGAACTCCATACGAAGAAGGTTTAGAGGCCTCTGTAAACCTGATTAATAATGAGAATAGCCGATAGCCTTTTACGATCAGTAGCTATTTCTAGCAGTCCACCTATGCAACTTGTTTTATCTTATAAATACGCCTTTGAAATCCCTGCAGTCGTGTAATCTTTTTTCTGAAGACTTTTAACGAAAACTCAGCCTTGTTGAGCTTCATTATTCGAATTTTTTAACATTACTCCTCAGTCAGGATTTGTTGGTCGGGAGAAAGTGGGAAGAACGCGAGAAATGATTGTAAATCACGAGCCGAAAGTGAGTGATAAAGAACTAAACGTTTTTAAATAATTTGAATATATCAACAAAGTTGAAATAGTAAATTTCCAACCGTACGGTGGCCAATTTACTATTTCAACTTTGTTGATATATTCAAATTATTTCGTTACCCCCACCGACGCAGCCCCAAACAGTTTCGTTAGAAACTATCAGCCTTTAAACGTTTTTAAGTTTTCTTCCAGTTTGTGAAGTAGATTACATGCCGCTAAACAAAGAGAAAATGCTGCCCATCGATTTTGTTAAATAGCTGTGCGTCTATCGGTACAATGCTTTCGGCAGCTGTCAATCTCTCGGAGAGAGCGTCCTCCCTTTAATTGAAGTTGGCGTCAATATTTGCTTATTTCATAGCAAATAGTAGTGTTGTTGAAATCAGGATGCAAATGTAGTTCTGGGGCTTGTTCAGTTTACGAAACTGTCGTGAGCAGTTATTCAGGCTTTAAAGTTATAAACATAGTTTTGATCTCTCTTTTATGTACTTTCTAATATAACTCACTTTGAGGTTTTACCTTACAACAATATTATTGTAAAACAAAACTGAAGAAAGCGAAACCCACTCTATAGAACGTGCAACTAAACTATGGCTGAAATTGAGCTACAACTTTACACTAACCATAGGCTAGCTTAATCGTCTGTTTAAAAACCCAGTACTGTTTTCTCAAACTGAAATTCTAAAAGGACTCAGGCGGGAAAAGGGAGTCGGCCAGCTCGGCTGCACATTGTAACAACATCCGGTTCGGATGACTTCTTGCTGATCATTTTACACACGGAACTGGCGTGTTGTGTTAAATCATTTCGTGACACAAAGTTTTACCTGTTTCAGTCAGGTAATTGATTTAGGAAAAAGAGACCGCGAGACTAATGAGATCAAGGTCCTGCAGTTCAATTGCTGTCATGATTTAAATTACGTACCTATACATAACATTTTCGTAAAATCTCCGTCTTACAAGTGATCATTGTCATACTTTACCGGGTGAGAATGAAATCTATTGCCATCTAATAGACCTTTATCAAAAAATGGGGGCTAAGAAGTTAATCGACAAAGTTAAAACTGCACTCAAACAAGCACACTTCAAATCTGAAATCTTGCCAAGGCTTACCACGGTGCCGTTTAAGCCGATTTATTCGAGAAACTTGCATTAAAACGTTTGTTCTGAAAAAGATATCAAGAAATTCAGGCTGTCATTTCTTTGATACGTCGCAGAGACATGCAATTTCAAGCACTTTTTATCTCTAAAAACCAAAATCGTTTGTGCGACGAGGTTAAAATACAAATTTCATATGGCGTTCTGAGGAGGAGTCCTTTAGCAATCGTTTAGGGACGTAACAATTTAAAGAATAGAACGGTATTCTTAAAAAGCAACTATGAAAATGTGACAGTCGAAACGAGTTTTCTGCGTTCGAACGATTTTATAGAAGAATAATAGTGTCGCCATTGGGTACACACACACAATTGACGACTGGAAAAAGGAGAATTGAAGACATCCTAAAAGAAAAATAATGATTTTCCTCAAACCCACGACATATTTATGAACTTTTTTGGAATTTTTGAGAGGATGCGGAAATCCGGCCTAAAAGGAAAAATATATCAATTTAATGTTGGTTGGACACTTTGTTTTCGTTTTCTTAACTGAACGTACAACGATATAAGGCAAAAATAGATTTAATGTTCACTTAAATATTTTATAGATTCGGCGACGATGACTCGGCAATGAACTTATGCCAGGTGATTTTAATGCTCAAAGTTTTGAGGTAGCATTTTTTATGTGGTCAGTTGTAGTTTTTTTCTTTGTTTTGAAAACACCACTTTGTAATTTATCAAATACGAACATTCGCTCACAATTCATCCATTACTTAAAGGAAATTTCTAGTTACAATACCAATACCTGGTGAAAAGGGGCAGACTACCTGATTTAACACCAAATTCTTAGATTTAACAACATAAGACTGAAATGTATGGCAGACAAAAAGACAATTACGAATGGCCGGGATTCATCGGAGTGAAGGTTTGTTCAACGCAAAGCATCAATCATTTATCATTTTGTTTCCATTGCTGCCTATCTATGATAACACGGCATGAGTGATCTAAAACATATGTTTATTCTTCCAATCAATTTTGCATCGTTTTGATCAAAACTCAACTGCCTTTTCCTCTTAATCCTCAGTTCGCGATTATACGACGCATAAGCGTATTGCAGTTGATATGAAAGCTACTTAGTTTAAAACGTTTGGATAGCTCTATACGGCTGGACAGCAAATTCTCTCATTTATTTACGTAGCCCCTTAGGGTAAGTTTTCATGAATGGTCCTTTCTTGTGCAGTAATTTGGCCATGCGAAATTGATTTGAATAAGTTCGTTCTACAGTCTCATTCAAGTTTTCATTCAAATGGAGTTTGAACTGCAGGTCATGCTATTACAACGCACAACTGGGTTATAAACAATGAATGGACTCCTGGTTTGCAGACAATTTAAGTCTAGACTATTGGAACCAAGTTAGCGTGAAATTTGTTCTCAGTAGAACCCTACTGTGCGTCACAATCTCAAATGAAAACTACAGGTCGTCTTCCAGACTGGGATAGTGGCTTTGTTTCACATCATGCAGTCGATTATTGCCGAATACGCGACACCATGTCCACGCGTTGAAAATTGTTCTCCTAAGAAAAAGCACAGATTTTATGCCTTAGGCAAAGCATATCATGTGGCTAGACTTTCAAAAGCCACAAGAAAAGGCTAAAGGACCGAATAATTTATAGCTCAAAGCCTTGAGTAGTTTTAACAATCGAATGGAAGCTATTGGATTATCTTTCAACCGCAATGACGCAGTCCATAGTTAAAAATAAAACTTATTCAAAGGAAACCTTGTTTAAATGGAACAAATTTGAGAGGAAGTCAATAGATCACGTCATTTGTCGTGACTTTTTCCGAGAGTGAATTGCTTTTACCGCGATTTCTTTTGCAATTTCAGAGGGAGCTGGAATCAGTAGTTTTGTAAACCCAGCACCATCGGAGAACTTCTGTTCCAAACACTTAAAATTGAGTGTTATAATTAGAAGAACAAATTCCTGGTGTGATGCGAAGTGTTACAGAACCAAAATAGCCTTTTTTAGCGAGCAATTCTCATAGCTGTTCTATCAGACCACTTGCAAAGCGCAATAAAATTAATCTTACTAAAGTTTCTGCCATATCTGAACTCAAAATAAATTATACTCGGTTTCGTGCTGATTTGAAATAGATGATTTATTTGTGCATAAAATAAAACATTTGAGGGATTTTAAATCCTGACAGAGCATTAACAACAATAACGATTAACATCCTGGTTTTTATGACAACTACAAATCTCAATGAAGCTGTTTATTAGACATTTCGTGCTAGAATTGTTAAGATATTACCAGCGACATGATATCTCCTGACCCTTCAGCCATTCACCAAAGTGCACAGGAAGCCCTTTGAGGTATATTCATACCAATTGGCGGATATTCAAATAAATCAATCTTCCTGAATAGATCACGTACAAAACCTTGACATTCACGCGTCAACCCTAAAGTTCAACTTTTAGTTAACATTTTTTAAATTAGTTTTTTTGACTGAAGTAAGCGAGATGTTGTGTTTAAAGACATTTAGCGAGATTCGTCGACCACGCGGTGTGGGAATCATCCCTTTGCATTCTGGGTATTAATAGGAGCGACTGTTAATTGCAGTGCACATCTGTACAGCAGTGGGCCATTTCTCTTCGGCGAATAACTTCGAACTTTCACGCTCGGTTGAGATTCGATCTTTCGGCGGGAGTGCTTGCACACTTGAAGTATCTCAGGGGATATCATCAGCAGGTAAGCAGTGCTTCTCTAAAATTATGATGATTGCTGCTTAAATCTAGGTACAAAAATGTTAAGTAACCACTCGAAGCAAAAAATGATTAGCCTTCTAAAAATGATTCTCGATTTATCTTGTTCTAGATCAAAATTATCAATTCTTTCTTCCCTCTGAGAGGAAAGACCGTTTCTTCATTTCAAAATAATCTCTTCAAAGACGTCCTTTTGGATCTTGTTCATTACGAATCCGAGAGATAATTGTGTTTTTTTTTTTTTTTTTAGCTCAGCCATTATCCATTCGTGACCTCTTTGATTTTGATTAGATAAAATTGTACTACAAATCCAACTGCATCTTTATTAGTGTTAGGATCGTTGGAAATTCATCTTTGAAAACTGAAATTCTCTGCGTGATTTTGATAAAGACATCAACTTTTAAAAATGCATGTCAAAGAGTAGGAAATGCTTTTTTAAAAGGCCTTAAACCGGTCGACCACAAATCATTTTTCCCACATGTTGTCTTTTAACATAGTGAACGCTTTTCCTTGCTTCAATAAGAGTGTCCCTTCTTTCTTCTTCCAAACAAGAGTACATTTTCAATTGTTTATTCATAAAATATGTATTGGCCTAACGCTTCCTGTGTACCTGATACTAATATGTTGGAAAAAACTTCCGTTCCTTTACGCTGCTGGATTACTACATGTTATCCTGATGGCTTCAGTTATAGATGATTCCTCCTTATTTACGTTTTGATGACTGCGGTCATAGAGAATTAAAAATATTTTTTCCGCCACAAGGCTGCATCAACCAATCACAAGCCGAAAAAGAATGAAAATCAACCAGTTTAAAAACTCCTCCCACGTAGGATTTCCTACTCTGTTTTCAAAGAAATCAGTCAGATATGAGCTCATTCAGTTATCCCCGAAGAATATTCATTGATTTGTGCAACTTCCACGTATAAAGTGAAGATTTTGTAGTCATTCTCTAAGACAAAAATCGAAAGCATTTCATAATTAATTTTTCTAAGATACAGCAGAGTGCAAGACAGGAGTGCTTACTATCAATACCAAAAAAGGAAAGAAAGAACAATTTAAGATAAGAATTTCCACCACTAAAAACTGCAGATGCAAAATGAAATAATTACTTTCATTCAGACTGAGCTGTCAACTAAAAACTGTGGGCGACCGACTTCGATTTAACAAATGGACAGTGGTTTAGCGTTGTCTGTGTTCTTATAGACAACGATATTAGTCGCCACAGTTAAAAAAAGGCTTTGGACTCACGAGGTGCAGCCGAGTGAGTCTGCAACCAATTTTGACCATTATGACGACGAATATCGTTGTCAATAATAGTAAAGACCACGCTAAACCACTGTCGGTTTTTTTTTTACCACAATATCGACGTTAACGATATTTTAAGAGCGTGACCATTGCGTGACACGATAATATTGCCAATTGAGGTTAAAGTATAGTTTATTGTAAGGAATTTTGGTACGTTTGAATAGTCTTCTGCCTCTGCCAAGCCATGATCATATATATTTACAGCATGAAATTTTCATCGGAATGTTTAGAGCAAGGGACACCTTTTTTACATGTATGGTTCTTGAGACCGATATCAGTCTCTGTATGTACCAAATCATTTAACAAGATTTTTCACCGAAGAAATAGTGTAGTTTTGAAGTGGAAAAAGCAAAACTGAACAAATTTCTTTTTTTACAAAAAGCGAGCAATCTATCAAATTAGTTGTTAGATGTATTTCTAAGATTGCTCCATGCGCACCTTCGTGTGGTAATTAGTGATGTCCGGAAAATCTTTGGAAAGTGAGTGGAAATGCTCAAGCAAACGTATTGAAAGTTGTATTAAAAGTTATATTACCAAGTTTATACCAAGACGTTTGCCGCTCACTGTTGTAGTTGTAAATGCTCTAAGTAAGAAATTATGTTCCAGACCTCACACTCATTCCATTATTACCATTCATGGAGAAAACGCCAGGTCACTGAGCTTTTGGTTGAGGGTTTGAAAATATGTGACATGAAAGGGAATGCCCTAACCTTCCCCTCCCCCCCAGAGTCAGTGACATTTCATATTCTCAACCAATGATTTCTTTGTTTTCCAGCAGATCAAGGAATAAGCATGGAGGAATTGTTTATCAACAAAACAGTTGTTAATTCCTCTTCTACATCGAATTCATCTGGCTCTTCTGAGAACTTTCATCAATCCCAAACAGCCAAAGTGCTCCAAGTCACTCTGTGGTCAACCGTGGTACTTCTGGGAATTATTGGCAACCTCTTGGTGTGCACTATAATCCTTGGACTCCCCAAGATGAAGACACCAATGAATAATTACCTATTGAGCTTGGCCATTGCAGACTTGGGAGTTTTGACGCTGCTCTTTCCAATAAATGTGATCCATCACATCTTCGCAGTTGGTTGGGTGTTGGGAAAGTTCTTTTGTTTGTATCTATTTCCTACGCTGGAGATCTTCTTTGGAGCGTCCATCTGGTCGATCACAACCATAGCCATTGAGAGATATCGAAGTATTTGTGGTGCAAACCGCTACAGGATCAAGAGCAGGTCTCAAATGAGGACTAAACTGGCCATCATTGGTGTTTGGCTGGCATCATTTTTAGTTTCAAGCGTTCCTGTATATCCCATGATGGCCTACAGTCCCGATCCACCAACCTGCTACCAAATATGGCCTGATGCAAAGGGTAAAAATGCAGTGTATCTGGCATATTCGTTAGCTCTTGTTGTACTGTGGTATATTGTCCCTCTCGCGGTCATCGCATTCACTTATATAAAGATCAAGAAACGAGTACGAGAAAGTGTAGTGTTCCGAAACTCGATGTCGATTACCGATGACGACAAGGCTGGGATCTTATCACCGTCTTCACAAAGCAAGAAAAGACAGGAAAAGCAATCTTTGAATCAAAGCAACAAAACTAGACGTATACTCACACCTTTGGTTATTTTCTTCTGTGTGACAATGCTTCCTTTGAACGTTATACGCACTGTTATCCTATTTGCACCAAAGTTTATTAGCAATCCTTATTTCGACCTGATCTTCGGGCAAGTCATATTTTTCGTTGTAATCAATTCTTCTGTTAATCCAGTGGTCTATTACATTACCAGTAAGGAATTCAAAGATGCATTCAAGAAAATATTCCAGAAATTGAGAGCAAAGGAATATTTATTCACACCTCTCGGTCTTGGAAGCAGAAGAACATCTAGTTCATTGGTCAGGGTTAATATTGGACGAGAAAATTGTAGGCAACCAAGCAAAAACCTGGACAGAAATAATTCTAACGTAGAACTTATAAATGCCAATGTTCAGGTTATCAGTGGAGTGTGAAGTCATATTGGCACTGCATGTGACTGTATATTGTTTCTTAAAACCAACACAAAGGTAATCACAATAATCAATTAGAGCGAAGGGGACTTTCATAGGAAACCAACGAGAAAGTAAAGTAAAATCGAGCAAGAAAGCGCAAGGGGCCAGGTGGCGTTTGGTTTTAGTTTGGATGAGAGATTGACGCGAATCAAAAAGCGAGGCGAATGAAAACTAACGCAATTCTGGATAAGTTTCGAAACGCAGTTTAACCCTTTCACTCCAAAGATCTTTTCACCATTTCTCCTTACCCTCGCTATACAATTCTAATAATACTAGCTTGGACAATTTGGTATTGGATCAACTTGTAATCCCCTAATTGATACATTCTCATCCCTTTTCCGCTTGATATTGAATTGATATTGTAATGAGTTATTCTGTCTTGGTCACACATGGGACAAAGGGTTAAAATTGCTCTATATACTATGGAAGACATACCCTCTGTCTACATGTTCAGTCGTCCAAACGACTGCTCAGTAGTATCTGCGTAGTAAGAAAAAAAAAAATCAGGCCTAGAGAAATCTCTTCTGGTCGTATACCCCGAAATACATATTTATTACTTCGATATTCACCAAGGTAATTTTCATGATTTTTGTACAATGTTAGCCAGTCATGCAGAAATCTTTTCCGTAAGTATCCCTCGTGTATGTATTCATAGATATTTTTAGTATTTATTAAAAACTGGATCATTGGATAATGCAATTCAAAACTTTTTATTGGCTTAGCCATTATGGTATATGAACCAATATACCATAATCTAATATCTGTACATTGTAACATCCGGTTTCTTCTTACAAAATAACGTCGAGAAGATTTGTCTTATATCTTGGGGCCGCTTTTTTTAATAAAACAATTATTCCACTCGCACTTGTTGGATATGCGATGATTATAGCCAACTCGGCGCGACGCGCCTCGTTGGCTATCTATCCTCTTATATCCAACGCGCGCTCGTGGAATAATTGTTAAATACCTCACAGGTAAATAGTGCTTTTCGCGCGCGCTGATTGGCTGGTTCGGAAGTGTTAATTAACAACTATTCACCAAAGTGGAGGTGGTTAGTGGTGGATATTTACTAAGCCGCGAAGCGGCGAGGTAAATATCCACCGCTAACCACCGATACTGAGGTGAATAGCTGTTTTAGTATATACTAGTACATACTAAAACAATGAGATAATATACACCACCAAAAATTAATTTGAGTGATTTCTTCGCTTGTCACGGATGCAAACCGGGACGCCATTTTTTCCGGAGTTGCTCGGAGGTAAATAACAAAGGATATTCGGAGTTTGACTAGCCAATCAGAGCGCGCCTTCAACGCTAT